ACGGGAGGTAGGAAAAAACTGTTGAAATTTTTTTAGGGGTGATTCAAAATTTAGAGTGTGGCTAGGCATACGGTTGATGAGGTAGGTGGCTGTTAGGATAGCATCTCCCCAGAACATCTTAGGCATGTTTGTAATAAATATCTAGGCACGAGCAACTTCTAGAAGGTGTCTATTTTTGCGTTCGACAATCCCATTTTGTTGGGGAGTGTCGACGCAGGAACTTTGATGGATTATCCTATGTGTTTGAAGAAAATTTCCCATGATCTTATTTATGTATTCTGTGCCGTTATCAATGGGTAGAATTTGAATTTGTGTATGGAATTGAGTTTGAACCATGGTATAAAAAATGATAAATACATAACAAACATCGAAATTGTCTTTTAGTAGGTAAACCCAACAAATTCGAGTGCGGTTGTCAATAAATGTAACAAAACATTTCGAATTAGTACGATTTAGGGTTCGTGAAGGTCCCCATAAGTCACTGTGGATCATGGTAAATGGCTTCGATGGTTTGTATGTAGATTTCAGAAATGACGTGCGTATATGTTTTGCAAGTTCACAAATTTCGCATTGAAAATCAACATACTGTTTATTCAGGAAAATGGAAGAAAATATACGTTTCAAGTACTGAAAATTAGGGTGACCCATCCTAAAATGCCATAATAGAATTTCACTACTTCTAGGAACAAACACGGAATTACTAAGTGAAACTTGACATGGTTACTCACATCGGCCTCTTCAAAGTAATAGAGTCTTCCACACTCTTTAGCACTGCCAATTGTCTTCCCCGATGATAGGTCCTAAAAAACACAGTAACATGGAAGAAATTTAGCAAAGCAATTGGAATTTTTGGTTAGCTGGCTTATAGATATTAAATTGCAAGATAAATTTGGGACATGAAGGACATACTGTAGAGTTATAGAGTCGGAGAATTTTATATTCCCTTTTCCTGTGACTGCGGAGAATGACCCATCTGCAATTTTAATTTTAAGATTACCAGCATAGGTTGAATATGTTGAAAATAACTGGTGTGAGTCCGTCATGTGATCAGATACTCCAGAATCAATAATCCATGGAATTTTGGATTGAGTTGTTAAATTTAAAGCACTCATAAAGTTACCTCTGTAGGTTAGGGAAGTTAAAAGACTATTTGCCGAGGTTTAATTTAGTGGTTGGAGACTCGAATTTTTTTTATAAATTTGCTCTATCTATTCAGGATTAAATGCACTAATAGACTCCTTGGATTTTTCTGTTTGATAGTTAACAGATGCTTGGTATCCACGACTTTTATTATTTTGCCTTCGTTTCTAGTTAGTCGGATTTCCATGTTTGTCCCAACATCGATATTCTTTGTGTCCAGGCTTACGACTCACAACAGGGTCATCCTTTTTGCAATTTTTGGCCTGGCCCAGTAGCAGATCCTCGTATAGGTCCATTTCTTAAAAATTAAGTAGGCCCACTTCCCTTAGATATTAGGGTAGAGATTTCAGCAAGCGCAATTCTATTAGATAAAAGGGCAGAAATTTCATTAGGCCCAATTCCTTTGGTAGATAAGGCCGAGACTTCACTCATAGTCGGCCCAAGGTCCCTGAGCATCGTCTTTCGACGGTTCTCTTCTCTTCTCACCTCTAAGAAGACCTCACGCGTTTAAGGCAGAGGTCGCCCACCAAGTATGCGTCCCCGACGTCATCCAAGTCTCAATTGAGCCCAGCCAAGAATTCATAAACCCGTTCATTTTCCAGCCTCTTCTTGTACCCGACGCTATCATCGGAGCACTCCCACTCTTCTTCAAAACTTAAATCAAGTTCTTACCACAACGAAGTCATCTCCATAAAATACTGTGTCACTTCCCGTTCACCTTGCTTGGTTTGCCATAGATGGGTCTTGATTTCAAAATTTTTTTAACAATCCTCCGCATCGGAGTACATTTCTTTCACTGCATCTCAGATATCCTTCGCTGTAGGGAGGAACATATATGTTTTTTCCTATTGTGGGCTTCATGGAATTCACGAGCCAAGCCATAACCATCGAGTTTTCTGAGTTCCATTTTTTCAGCAGTGTAGCGTCAATTGGTTTCATTATCTCGCCAGTGATGTAACCAATCTTCCCTTTTTCGTCGATCACAAGTTTTATTGACTGAGAGTTGGAAGGATGAGGTATCTGGGCCATTTGAACCTATTATGGAGGCGTCCTCTATTTGGGGTTCCATCTTAAAAAGTCAACATTATTAAGAAGAGTTATCCAATCATTTATAAGTTGGTTTATGTTTACATCTTTATTCAATGTGGGATTCTATCCCTTAACATGCCCTCGCAAGATGGTAGCTCGTTTGAGCAGACCAATCTTGAAATTCGTATGCTCACTTTTGAAGTATTAATCGGATCGAATTACTCGCTAGAGTTTAATGAGCTCTGATACCATGAAATTAGACGTGATATACTTTATTTCATTAATTAATGTACAATATAGCAATTCTATTTATAAAACAATGAAATGAGTAAAAAAGGTTAAAAAAAAAATACTAATCTCCTAAGTAAGACAGTAAATCAATCAATATAATTACAACATTATTTTCAGTAAGGAAAATCTCAGTCAATCATCTTCAATCAATTAAGTCTCTAATGCAATCATTTGGAATTTCAACACATTTCATTTGAAAGAGTGGCTCGATTTCAGTAGAACATATCAAAAGTGTCAGTGACGGATAACTATGTATTATTTGATATTTTTAGATGTTTTTCTTAATTTACTAAAACAAATGGAGGAGTGTAAATGAATAAATATAGTTAAATTCTAAATATAGTCGGAAATTTTTTTTTTTTTTTTTTTTT